GGGCGCGATGGCGGTCCTTGCGGCTGTAGGCCAGCCTCCGAGGAGCCCGCGCTTGTCCCCTGCTGGGATGTCCCCTGCTGGCCGCTGCATCAGCGGTAGGGCCACCCTGCCTGGCCACCGGCATCCCTACGCGTCCAGGAGCCAGGGTTGCTCAGGGTGCCAGTCCATGAAAAGGGGCCGATTGTCCTGGAACTAGCTCACATCTGGGCCACAGCTGGCCCCGGGTACCAGAAGTGCCCTCTGGAGCCTCCTACGCCCTCTAGGCTCCCCCCTGGATGGGCTGTTACTTTGCACGGGACCATTTCAGGTGCGTTTCCTCCCCGTGCAGAGCAACAGCGTTTGTCCCGCTGGGTCTTTCCAAAACCGGCAGCCCCAGCACCTCCCACCAGTGTCCGGGGCACAGAGGTGTCTCTGTTAACAGCTCTCCCACCAAATGTTTCCGCAGCTGTTTTGCAGGACACTGTACATCCACCCCCTGCCAAATTGTGCTTGGCCGCTGGGAATAAAGCACGTTGCTGGTGTAAATCCATTTCCCACTGTCGAGGGGGTCACAAATGGCTTCGAAATGGAGTGCTTAGACCAAAAAAAGCTCAGGGTGCACAGTCAGGTTTATGGTGGAGTGACAAGGGGGCAAAGGCTCAGACGGTGGCTTCAGGATCTGGCCCCAACCTTGCCCCTGGGTGACGCTTGCTGATGGCAATTTGCCTCCGTGAGGGGTTTAGCAGGAATTCCCTGACTGCAGCCTCAAAGCCATGGACCAAACCGTCCAGAGACACCACCCAGCAGCGTCTACTATAGCACCCTATAGCCCCAGTGCCATGGGCACCGGGGGCAGCCGGCTGCCAGCTAGAGGGATGAGCTTCCTACCACACACCTGAGGTGGGGGTGAACCAGGTCTTTCCACGCTTTCCTTTGTGGGAACCGCCTGTGCACAGGTGGGTCCTGCCAAGAGACACCCCAATAAGGAGACAGAGTGATGGGTACCAGCTATCTTCAGGTTGGTTTGGATTTCGGATTCCCCCATCCCTTTTCTCTGCCTCCACCTTTCCCCTCTCACTTCATGCATTGATGGGACATCGGGGAACACCTCTACCAGCCGTCTGCATTATGCCCAGCACACCCCAGTCCCAAAGTGCTGCCCCAGGGCAAACAATACCAAATAATAACAGCGTCATGCCCCAGCACACCCCACAATGCTGATGGGGCTGCAGCCAGTGTGCAGTGCCTGGGCTGGCTCGGGATGCCTCGCTTGCCTCTTATTTCTGGGTGAGGCTCCCACAGCCTCTTTGCCACGATAAAACCTATTTCTGGGCTCGGCCGGCCGATCCCTGCCTGCACGGGAAAGCCCACAGCCAGGCCACCCCAGGAGAGGGGCTCACCCTGTATCACCGCCCCGACTGTACCCTCCATCTCCGCACACCCAGCCCACGGCTCCTGGGGCTCGAGCGCCGATTCCTGCAAAGGGAGTGGTTTGCCGTGTAATTCCTCTGCCAGGCCTCGAAGCCCGCGGGCTGTACATCTCCTCCGGGGTTTTACAAGCCATCCGGCGGCCTGGACCGGTGGGAGCTGGGCAGGGAGGCGCGGGATGCGTCAGAACCGCTGTCAGCTGGCCGAGCCTGCGTGGAGGCAAACCTCTCCTTGAAAAGTCAGCGCAAAACTATTCGTGACTCTCACTTCTTTTTAAACACAGGCAGTACCAGGCAGCCCCCTGTGACAGCCGCCATCCCCACCCTGCACAGGGCACGGCTCTCCTGCAGGGGCTGCTGGGGGGCCCCCCATGCCCTCCGCTGCGGGTGAGCTGGGGAAGCCGGCTGGCATTAAGCGGGGTTTAAAAGTGGAAGGCAGACGGGACAGGGCTGAGCCAAGCTGAAAGGTGCGTCTTGCT